ATAATATATATATATATATATATATATATATATTTAATTATGCAATAATATGCTACAAATTCATTCTAGCTTAGTGGCAAAATGAAAGGACAAGAAAGAAGGAGGTCATGAATTTGAACTATGAATGAAGTGATTTGTAAAATGAAAATATACATTGGTAACATGTGGAGGGTGACAAGTGGGCAGTGAGCTAAACTAGTCTCACTTTTTAGCGACAACTTTTTTGATAGTTTTTGCAATAATAAATGTTGTTATTAATATTCACCATTCAACAGTGATTAACTAGTTGCCATCTATTTGTGGTTTTTGAGGTGATAATACTTAACTTTTAATCGTGAGTATTTTTCTGTGGCAACAAAGTTACCATTGACTAAATATTTTCAATAATAATTTTTATTGTTGCTGTAAATAAAATTAATGATAAGAACTCTTATGATGGCATGTTTGAAAGTTAAAATTTTTGTAGTTATTTGATGAGTAATTCAACTTTATTTGAACAACTTTATGCGACAAATTAAAACTAGCAGGGCAAATGGAAACAATTTTGGAAGAACCTTTGATTTTTCATATAGATCATTTGCAAGTTATTACTTCATTTTATCCATTCTTATTTAAATTATGTTCGTGATTCTTTTTTATGATTATTTAAGTATACTTGATGGTACTTCTCAGAGAAGTACAAGCTAAGTACAATATATACTGTAACACATCAAAGGCAGATAAATTGGATCGTGAGTTTCAAGAAATTAATTAAGTGCACTGGCGTAATAAATAGTGATTTTTATCATATTAATAACAACTCTTTAAATATTCTGATAATTAATCAACCCCTAATAACTATGCATATATAGCAAACTGTTTAAGGTCCATATTAATTAAAGTTACATTTGCATGCATTAAGATAAAGATTACTCCCTCCCGTCTTTAATATTCCCTCAGTCCCAAATTATAATATATTTTTAGATAAAATTTCACGTACCAATAAACCTCATTAAATACATTTAACAACCTTATCTTTTTAAAATAAAAATATAAATTTTTAAAAATACTTATTATTTAATATATTAAAAAGATAAGAGACCAACATTAATTATAGAGAGAGGAATTATAATATTAAAATTGGTGTATTTAATGAAACCTTAATTTACTTAAAGCATCTTACATTTTAAGATGGAAAAACTCCTTTAAAAATGTCCTATAATTTAAGATGGAGATAGTATAAGGTAAACTTAACCAACTCATGCTTATTAAAAAAATGACAGCTATACAATAAAATTCCCTTTTTTTGCCATCAATAACCATATTAAATTTTTTTATGGGAAATCTATTTAATGATAACAAGTAAACAAGAAAAGTAAAATTGAAAGAAGAATAGTAAAAAAACATTATTTGCTCTAACTTTGTCTTATATTAAAAGTCAAAGAGAGCTTTTAAAATTTGTTTTTATTACAGACTGGAGGGAGCATCAATTAATAGAATGTCGTGAGTTTGGTTACTTTTACTATAATCTACTCCATGGTGCATCAAGCGGTTAATACGTGTCGTTATATATACTTTATCTGTTTAAAAATATAAAATATTTTTTAAGAAGTTAGATATTAAAAAATATAAGATATTTTTAATTTTTTAAGGTATAATAATTACTTTTTTTTTAAGTGCTCCTATAGATAGTGACTTTATATTTATTATAGGGTATTTAATAAGGGTAAATATAGAAAGATAGGATTAGTTTAAAATTATGTAACTATTTTATTAAAGATAAAATTTAATTAAAAATACTTTATATTTTTTAACGGGTAAAGTATAATTTTTTTAAAATAGTCATCATTCTTGGTGTAGAAAGAAGAAGTTTACAAGGTTGGGTTTAACAAAAAAAAACCAGTTCTTCATAACATGGTGAACTAGGGTTCGCATCCTTGTTGGCAGATGTGTCACCTTATAATGCTCGGCTGTATATTGAACATGGTTGCTTAAATAAAAAATTACTTATGAGTAGTGAAAAAAAATACAATTATACTAAAGATGCATGAAATAAAAAAGTACTAGCTTCCCCCCCTAATTTCTTGGTGATTAAAGTCCTATGTATGACAAAGTCAATTCATATACTCTGTTTCGTTTTGTATAAGAGGTTTTTAATTTAATATTACATACCAATAAAAATTTATTATTTAATTAAAAGCACATAAAAAAACCATAACATTTTTGTCCAGTGTTGTCTCTAATAATATTGTAATTAATGCTAGTATGTTTATGGGTAAATCACTTAATTAAGATCTCCTACTCTTTTCAAGTCAATAAAAATAAAATTGTTTAATTATACAAAAATATTAATGTTATTATGTCCCTTAAAGGACAAAACAAATTTACACAGAACACCCTATATTAGGAAAGACAGATAGAGTAACTTGTACGTAATGAAAATCTTAGAGCACTTGCTTTTCGTGATTCCTGGAGGCAAATGTGAAGATCCTCGCAACCAAGGTGATGACGCTGTATGGGTATGAAATCTGGAATACAAGGGAGGGACGTTACGTCGTTTTAAAGAATTAATTACTGCTACGAATATTGATGAGATAGGATCATATGGAAGGAAAATGTACGAGGGAAGCAGAGTCTTCTGATTGCCATGCCGACAACGGCATGCAAGAACACGTTCCGCCTGTACATAATATCGATACAATATGATAAGTTGTTTTTGCGACTGTTTCTTGATTAGCCTGTTCAAGTGAATTTTGAATCTGAGAATTCTGATTCAAGTGAGTTTGCATGTTACTTAATTAGCCTGTTCTATTTCAAAACGATAATTAACATGTAGCAAATCCTATACTCATGTACCCTGCCAGTCAGTAATTATTGGAAATCCAAATCAGAGTTGCTTTAGTAATTCATCACAAGCACAACGTATACTGAGTTGACTTATACTCATATACACATACTAGTACCAGGGAAGCAAATCAAATACAAGTTTAACGAATTAAAAACGAGTTAAAGATACAAGAGAGAGTGTCGTACGGAGTGTCAGAACTCAGAAGCGAGGACTGATGAAGGATGCACGGGGAAAGGCAGGCATGACGGATATGTATGCATTGAATATCCTCACAGAGAGAGTGAGAGAGCAAAAGCCAAAAAATCCAATGAATGAAGCAGACGAAGTTTTTCAGAAACTTGTCGAGCAAATGGAACGCCTTAATTACAAACCAAGTCGTGCAGATGATCACTCTCTCTCTCTCTCTCTCTCTCTCTCTACACCCCCGCACACAGACCCCACACATGTATGTGTATACACTGTACTGCTAGGAGACATATTTATCAGAAACAACCTCTGTCACAACTGCGACTCTAGCAGTCTTCCCACTCGCATGTTTGCCATGTTGTTCAACTCTCTCTCTAGCTAACACTTTTTCATTGTGCCTTTGCCTTTGCTAGTTTAACTTGCTTCCTTCAGTTTCTTTCTCATTTCCATAATTTTTCCCACTCTCTCTTCGTAAATGAAACAAGCAAGCTTACTTGGTACGTAAGAATGTCATCTTGTCCACTTGATATTCATGCTTTATTTCCGCCATGTCTGTACACTTTATGTAATTCTTGTTTTATCCACTGCATTCCTTTTGCTTTTTATATTTTAATTTAGACATGACTCTCGGATCAACATATGTTGCTGAGGAAAAAAAAAAAAGTATTACAAGAAATTATTCGTTCAAGTCCGTTCCTGTGTTCGTTACGGTTAAGCAGAAATATTTCACTGATTTTCTATTTGAAACCCATGACTTTGAAACTGCAAAATGTATGCTATATCTCGATTATTATGATTTCTAATGAACACAGGTTTCAGTTTAAATTTCTCTTTCAAGTATCACCATTAAAGTTCGCTATGATAGAGATTTCCTGATACGAAACAGATGTTCATACACTGTGAGTTGCTTCATTTTCTGTTATCAAAATCGGAAATGAAAATGGAAACCAATCTTTCATTTTAAAGTAATGCACTTGTTCTATGTTCTGAAAATCCCAGACTGCGTAGATTTATTTAGCTAGCTAGAACCACTGAACCAATGGCAGTCATATAAGATTTTCTGCAGAGTGGAATTGCAAACTTCACTAAAATGGCATGTATTTAAAATATTAAAATTACCATAACTTATTTTAGCTGATAAAAAGTTTAATAAACATTTCAAGTTATTAGTTTTACACAAAATTGTAAGTGAAATATAGAAAAAAAACAACAATAACCAAAGTAGTATACATGGCCCTTTTACAATCTAAGCAGTGTTTGGTCTTGCAATTGAAAACCCTCACCTGGAAAAGCTTTGCCATCTCGATGACTGAACAGCCAGCTGTACGTACAGCACCTTTTTGTTTTTGTTTTTTTTTTGCCAGTAAACTTTTGCAATCGATTTCGGTTAGGGTTTTTAACTTTTACTTTTAAGAACACAGTCACGCACAAACAAACAACGAGAATAAAACGTCACAGCATGATCAGGAATTCCTAGAACCGATGTGTTTTGATTCGGACTGACTGAACGAAGATTTATGTATAAAAACATTGCAGAAAAGGCTTGCAAAAGACAACTTTTATAGTTCCAAGGTCAACGCAGAAGAATTTAATTTATACTCCGAGCATGTGGTTCTCATAGAGTATATAAAAAGGCCTTTAATTTACCATATATCTGGAGCGTAACAAAAAGGAAAAAGATGCTTAAATGGCAACATATATTCAATAGCAAGATAAAACAGGCTTAATAAAAAACAAGCTTAAACGATAGTGAAAGCATGTTGATAAAAATATCAACGACTCTGCATGGGAAGGTACATAGAGTTTGGACGACGAACTCATGACCTAGTGAAAGCTAGCAAGTACAAACAAGACTACCCAATTTGTAAGTAGCAAGACAGATTAAACAAGGTACATGAGACTAGGACATATAATTAAAAGAAAACATGCATCTGCAAGCACTGGACTTGATAGATTTTCCTACAGTTACATTCATGAAATGGAGAGATTAAGCGTTTTGGACGCTGGCTGCAAAGGCATTAAGAATCTCTTGGTAACGAACAAGATCTTGAGTGAATGAGAAATCTGCATGGTTCATCAACTGACCGTTGCCAAAATGCATAGCCTGCTCATCAAAACCTTCAATCTGATGTTGCATGGGAAGAAAACCTACAGGCTCGTCAAAATAGACACCAAAACACTCTTTCTTTGTTTCGTTATGGCATTGAGAAGCTGGATCAAATGTGGGATCAGGCACTGGCTGAGAGGGTAACTCTGGAGTAGGAGCCTCAAATTTCTCGGGCTTCGAAGTTAACATGAATTTATGAACTATCTCCTCCAACAACCCCGAGCCTGAAGCTTGTCCTGGAAAGAACTCAAATTGATCATCATCAGCTTCAAAATTGCTTTTAGTTATCCCATTATGGTGGGTTGTGTTCATCGAAACGGAAGCAAACCCACATGTGCTACTACTAATAGTGTTAGTGCCACCAGAAGAATTCATCAAACAGCAACTTCGGAGACAAGTACACGTGGGACAGGTGGACGATGTAGAAGAAGAAGAAGAGGGAACCAAAGAAGGGTTGAGAACATCAGGGTGCATAATCATATTCGAGGTAGGGTTCCGGTGGTGGTGGGTTGAACAGGCACGAGGGTTGGACCAACTAGAAGCTCCCACATGGCGGTGGTTAAGGAGGTTCTTGTTAATATTAACAGACGACATCGGAGATTGTCTGGGAAAGTTGAAAGAAGGAGGAGGAGAAGGCGAAGTTGGGTAGACGAAGTTGGTGCGAGCTTTCAGGCCACGCATGGATCGAGCGGCGCAGTCGTAAGCGCAAGCGGCTTCCTCAGCCGTGTCGAAGGTACCGAGCCAGCGTCTTTCCTTTGACAGAGGGTCTCTTATCTCGGCGGCGTAACGACCCCAGGGCCTACGCCTGACTCCACGGTACCTTATACCGCCGGCGCCGTTATCTCTCAAAGCCCTCTTGTTGGCAGCGGAGGCGCACTTCTTTGGGTGGTCGGAGAAGGATTCGTTGGAGTCGAGGCCGTTGAGACGCCTGAAAGCTTCTTCCATTGGTAATGAAAAGAAATCAGGGAAAGTTGGGTTAAGATGAAGTGACCAATGGCTTAAGGGAATTTTTTGAGATTGGCTCAGAACTGAAGGATCCTCCTGTAGGTAATATTTATAAAGGCATAACAGCAGAGTTATTAATGCACACAACCCCACAACATCGATCTAATATGTAACCAGCTTTTTCCGAGGAGGGATATTGGGAACGTGATTGATTTAATCATGCATGTCCAACGCTAAACTCGATAAATGTATTTGTAAATCCCATTATATATTATTACACTCTATATTAGGTTACAGCAAGTTTGATGAGCGACCCTGCACACTGTGCATGCATGGCAATGATGGTTTTTTAGTCTGACTTTTTATAAAACAATGCTAACCATATACCATAATTTACGCAGCTTTATCATCTGATCTAGGCCCCTACACGGCTACAGCTTCTACTTTTAATGGTAGAGTGATAGATGAGTCCAAGAGATGATCAATTAATTTAACTGAGGATTTATGTAATAAACTTTAAAAATTTATAAATTTATCTTTTAATTTTATAATTTTATTATAATAAATTTATAATTTATTTTTTAAATTTTAATATGATTGAAAAATATAAATTGTAAATTCATAAAAAAAATTATAAAATTACAAGTTAAACTTATAAATTCTTAAAATTTAACACTTGAGACTTAATTTATATTAATTAATCATTGTGGGACCTCTCTATTATTGTTCTTAATTTAAATTCATTTCATATGGCCACTGGTATATGCTAGTTTTTCGCAGTCTAATCAAGATCTTAATTTACTTCCAAGTGCTTAGAATTTTCTTTTGGGGATTAAATGATATTGTATGTAATAATATGTTACTAAAATTGAAATGTAAAAAGAAAATATTATTATTTTGTGAAAAAAATTACTCGTTTAAATTTAAGTACTAATAAATGTTGTTGTACGTATATTCGTCAATTAGGTTATGATTCATGACAGCTAGAGCAGAATTACAGTGGAAGTAATTGCACTCGGCTATTTCCGAGGGCACGAGTGGAAAAATAAATTACATGAAATTATGATTTTTTTTTAATCTTTCTAAACAGAAACGCGTCGTCTGTTTTTGGTCCCTTGTGATTATCAATCTGAATAATTACCTGGCCAAAAAAAAATTCCGAATAATTTCACTGGCGGCGTTCAGAAGTTGTTCCTCTTACTTTGGCTTCTCAGGTTATTACTTTTCACTTATTTTTTTCCTTTTGAGTGACTGTAGTGATGCCAATGTTTAAACATTTGCAGCTGCTATGGGTTATTAGTATTATAATGTTTCTGTTACTACTACTGATTAGTACTGATGTGGAGGGTGAAAACCAAGGATTTAAGGGTCACATGGGCTTGTCTGTTTTCGGGGTTTAATAGGTGTTTTAAGAGGATGAGATATTATTTGGTTCTACTGTGCATTGATGCTTTGCTACTTGCTAGCCTAAAGCAGAGGGATAAATAAAAGTGGTTAATGCAGACTACAGAGAAAGCTCTCACTCTTTGTTGGCTCAAAAATTGCCTCTATGTGCTTTCCTAACTAATGTTTGCTCCACAACTAAACATTCTCATATCTTCTCATTCCGTTCCCAAGGAACAGTAAGATGTAGACTTATCTGTATTTCAAGCTTTTCTTGCTATCCGTGCACTTTTTGTTGTTATATAGAACAAGTTTCAGGTAATTAATTAAAGGCATTTAATGGGTTTCGTTATTGCATGCTATAGCACAGCTGATAATCCTTAACTACATAAAAGTCAAATTAAACTCCACCAAATTCAGTTTAAGCTAAATACAGTAAAATCACAAAACCAGGTAGAACTCATCTCCATCATCGCATATTTGGGGTTCCATATGGAGACTATTTGCACAAACTCAGCATGTAGGAAGTTTAGCATATATAGGAACTTATTAAATTAGGGAAAGGGTATAAGTATATGGTCTAATCGCGCAAACAGTTACTTTATATAAAAGGAATGGCTGCACCTTAGCTTCACTGTGATAAAACTACTTCCTCCGATTCAATATATAAGCAACTTTTAATTATAATTTATATCCATAGTTTTTTTATGTCAATAATTTTTTAAGGAGGGGTGTCATGTGGAAAAGCCAAAATGATGTAAACCTGACCAACAGAATAAGAAGCAGGTGATAAATTCTCTTGCTATACAAAAAACAAGGTTACCGGATCAAAAAAAAAGGTTAATAAATAATACAAAGGTTAAATGACAAAATTTTTTTTGAAAATACTAAGTACTGCTATACTCTTCTAATCCTATTTATAAGATAGAGAAAGTATTTATTTTGATCTTATTTATAGGGTACCTCAATAATTATTGTATCAATTTTTATTTTTTTCTCTCTTATTAAATGTTGAAAATGTTATGAAATGTGAGTAAAGTATTTGATTTTAAAATTGTATATTTAATAAGGATAAAGTTAGAAACTTATTGAATTTTTAAACAAAATTAATGCAGTTTAAGAATTTTTTTATTCTAATAACAATGCTGAAAGTAATTTATAAATAAGAGAAGAGGAATATTAGTATCTTATTTGGACAATGATTGACTAAAAAAGAAGGTATTGAGGAAATATGAGAAAATTAAAAGAGGTATGAATAAAGCACTGTGGCATCAAAAACTTAAAAAAGAAAAAAAAAAGATCTGACAAAACATCCAAGTGTCATCTCAAGCATTTTTGTTGTGTCTCATGTGAATAGTATATATAATGAATTTAACGATGATTTTAAGATTTTGTGGGTTTATTCCCGGTTAAGAGATGAAACCCCAGTCAATAACGTAAAAGCTTTTATTGCAAAACAGATTAAGGGAGGGTTAGAGGGCATTAGTTAGCATTCTTAGCTAGGCATCAAAAAGAGCTGACGATCCACCCAATATTTCAAAAATGTCATAATATGATTCAAATTTAACGAATTTTTAGATGGTGTTTAAACATGTCGACTAGGCCCACATGACAATGACAAGTGGCATGAATGCGTAGGAACCTTTGTGTGTGAAAAATGACATTTTTTTTCCTTTGGAAGTACTATTATTGAAGGAGGAAGTAATATCATAAAATAATAATGAGGAGCAATTAATATTTTTTAAAATTTACATGTGTCACCATGTTAGTCGACGAAAACCTAGTTGGTCTATTTTTTTGATCATTAATTAATTTGTGATGGTATTATTAGTTGACAATGTAATTAGTGCGGGCTAACAAGTATTTTGTAAACAATAAATTAAATGACTGTTGGCAATATAGATGGGATTTTTTTCCTTGTATTTTTTTTTAATCAAGGTATGCATGTGCTAATGGGCATATGAAATTTATGATAACACTGCCGGTTGACTGTTAGCTAGGGTTATCAGGTTTTTTTTTTTTTTTTTAACTATTAATGCACTCCCCATTCTTATATATGGAGTATTTTCTCAAAACTTATGTTGTCCAATATCACGATGTTTTTGAATAATTATATAATTTTGTTATTGTCTTTGAAAAAAAAAGAGATATTAACATGTGTACTTTACTCACCACAACCATAATACTAATTGACGTTATTAGAGAAAAAATAGAAAATTATTGTGATTTAATGTGACTTTAACTAATAAATAATAAATTTTTATTGATACACAAGACTCAGTTAAAAACACTTTATATATAGAACGGAGGGATTACAACATTGGAATGGCAAGTTAAAAACACCTAAACAAAATGGGAAATGCTTTGTTGAAAGAAACAGTAAGGGTGGAATGCCAATTACCCCTTATTATATAGTACATCCTTCATCCCAATTTATAAGATAATATGAGATAAGATTGTTATACCAATAAAATTTAATAATGACACTTTACAAATTTTTTTTTACAAAACAAAAATATTAATTTCTAAAAATACCTTTATTTAATATAAATTGAAAGATAATATTAAAAAATTATCATTAATAAAACTTATTCTCATCAAATTGTTTTATATTATAAAATAATAAAATACTTCTAAAATTATTTCATAACTTAGGACGGAGTAAGAACCTTTTAAGGTGCCACTTTCTCCTTTACAATTACTTTACAGTAAAAATGTATGTTTAAAAAAAAAATTCTTGCAAGATACTAATTTTCCTTGTACTAGAGAGGGTTTTTTTGCTTCGGTTTCAGATAGAATTGGAATTGGTTGAATCTGTATTTTTTTTTTTTATTCTCTGTCTGTTTTGTTGTTTCTGTTATTGTGTTTTATTTTTCAGACTCTGTATCTGGGGCCTGGCCTCTTTCCTTCTATTGATTGAATGAATTTCCTTTGGCCAAAAAAAAAAATTCTACATAGGCATGTCATGTGTTACCTTTTTGTGAGCCCTCAGTATAATAGAAAAGTTTTTAAAGAAATTGAAAATAGAATTAGAAGAGAATTAAATTATAAAAGCATGTTCAATTTTAAGATAAAATTTTAATATAATTTTACTAAATATATATATACATATATAAAATAATAAAAGACAAATGCCTCTGTCAACGAAAAAAACATGGGAAATCTGTCCACCATCCCTCTCTTTCGGGGCCAACAGACTAAAACGTAGACAGCAACAAACAACGTCCACCAATCCAGAATAAGAACCCCGGCGGACAACAAAACAAGAGCAAGAACATCGCAAACAACCAATCACAAAGCAAAAAAAAAATCCACTAGAAATCAAAACTTGAAAAAAAAAAACAATGAAAATGTCATTGTTGGAAACCAACAAGACAAGAAGAAGAAGAAAAATATCCTTAATTAAATCCGTCAAGAGTCTCGTCCAATAATATTGCTACAAGGCAATTTAAACTAAACAACGACGTACGTCATTAATGAAGGCAGGAAGAAGTGACCGGTGTACTTTGGCTTCGCAAGCGTGAAGAGGGCTCAGATACCAACTGTGAATATTGAATATGCACACAGTCACAGAGATTATTTTTTCACGACATTGACCAAAACTAATTCAGTACGTC